AGGAGAAGGAGAAGAAGGAGAAGGAGAAGGAGAAGAAGGAGAAGAAGGAGAAGAAGAAGGACAAGAAAGAAGAAGAAGGAAGGAGAAGGAAGAAGAAGGAAGAAGAAGGAAGAAGAAGGAAGAAGAAGGAAGAAGAAGGAAGAAGGAGGAAGAAGAAGGAAGAAGAAGGAAGAAAAAGGAAGAAGAAGGAAGAAGGAAGAAGAGGAAGAAGAAGGAAGAAGAAGAAGAAGGAGAAGGAGAAGAAGGAGAAGAAGGAGAAGGAGGAGAAGAAGAAAACTTACTCTTTTAGCCTAGAAAGCTGTGTAAATGGAGTTCAGAGTCTGACAATCCAGACTTCAAATTCAACCCTATCACTTCCTTCCTGTGTGACTGTGAGCAAGTTACTTGCTATATCTCAATTATTTACCTGTAAAATGCTATAATGCTGCAAATTACTTCAGGGTTGTGATGTGTATTGAAAGAGACTCTGAATTCAGGATATTGGTACTTAAAAAGCCTTTAATTAATATTACTCAGTTATTATTATTATACAACTCCTCCATGAGCCAATGAAAACCTTGCTTCCAAATATCTGACCCTAAGACATATATAAAATCTTAGTCTCACTAAATAATGAAAACATTTTAATTCCAGTAATAAATTTGGACAATTTTTAACTTCACTTGTGAAAACTACTTTGAGTTTTCTGACAGTCATCAGAATTGGGAAACAAATTTTATCTCTCACTAGGAAGTGCCAGATTACATATGTTCATTACATACTTGGTTTGACCTTAGAAGTTTCCATATATATTTGAACCGATTTTCAGGAGATATACGAATGCAAGCCAATCTGACACTTTCAAGGCCTTCTGAGATTGGTTGACCCCCTAAAAAAGAAAAATTAAATATATAAATTGGGCATTACAAATTGCTTTACACATGCTATTACTTTTAAAAACTCAGCTGGGCATGGTGGTACACACCTGTACTCCCAGCACTTGGGAGGCTGAGGCAGGAGGACTGCTGCAAGTTCGAGGCCAGCCTGGGCTACAAAAGTGAGTTCAAGGCCAGCCTGAACTGCACAGCAAAACCCTGCCTCAAAAGACAAAAACAGAATACAAAATATATCAAACCAACCTCAGTTTTAAAGTATCAACTATGTGCTGGAAGTTACAAAATCTTCTAATTGACAGTTTGAGTGTAGCAGAGCAGAGTGATGGAGCCAAAGAGAAAGTCACCAAAATAAGCAGGAGATAGATACTTTGGGTCCACTGTTCTGTGCAGAATAAACTGTGCTGAAAAGATAGGGTGATCAACGTTCATCTGTTACACTGAACTCTGAGATACGCTAGTACTTTCCAATTTACTGGTTAGGAAACCTCACTGGAGATATTGAAGTGTCAGGATAGCATAATTTGATACAGAACAGCTCTTAAAGTTCTCAATTTAAGGTTTACCAATCAACTGATAGAATGCCATGACCAAAACACCAAAGCTGTTTCCGTACAGGACAGACTCAACCACAAACCCCAAGTACAATGAGGCGTCTGTGGGTTGTAAGAGATGTATTTGTTAAATTTTAGACATCACTGAAAAAAACGTAAAACAAAAGCAGAAAGTTACTTAGAGCTGTAAGTGTTTAGAGAAGAATTATTTAAATTTTTATAATTTCCTTTCAATGTATCAATTGATTGTTTTCTTGTATCCTGTAGCCATCTGAAGTTAAGGATATTTCCCCAGAGTAAACTTTCTGTCCATCACCCTCCAATACAGAATTCACTCACAGCCACAATCTACTGGTCCACGGCATTCTTCTACACGAACAATACACTTGGATTCACCTCCAGGACATCCATTAGTTAATATAACTTCTCTAAAACCAATACCTTTGGTGAAAGAAATGGGCAAATGTTAAGAAAAACTAATTGCAGAGGACTTTTACTTTCCTGTCCAGGTGTAGTTTCCTTCCTTCCTTTTCTTCCTTTCCTTCTCCCTCCCACTCTTTCTGCCCTCCCTTCTCTTCCTTCCTTATTTCTTACTAATTTTAGAAATTAAATTTCTAAATTCAGAATAATGACATTTAGAATTTTCTTAGATCCCTCATTCTAAATTTTTCATAAAACAGTATTTTCTCAAGTGAGTTACATAAAGCACTAGCCCCTCAGGCTGTTACCATAAGAAAAAGGATTTCCTATACATTTGAAAATGGTACATTAAATACAGTTAAAGGGGCCTCTTTACTGTTTTTTTTTTTTTTGATTATGAGAGTCAAACTTAGGACCTTGTGCTTGCCAGGCAGGCACTTGCACCACTGAGCTATATTCCCAGCCCAAGTGATCTCTTTACTACAGAAGTTTTCAGAAAAGTTTCAGAAACTTTTTAACATGTCAGTAAATTAATGTTATTGTATATAAATTTTCACTGATCCAGTTGTAAAAATTTTTGGAGTTTAACATCTTTGAAATCAGAACACATTTATAATTGTGGCCCGGCATTAAATTGGCACCCACATTTTTCCTTTTTCAAGCATGTAAACTGTGCTGCTTAGAGCCACTAAAATAGATTTGGTGAACTACATAGTACACAAGATCTCCCAAGAGTATTTGACCACAGAACTGTTTGGAGTGTGAGGCGGAGCCTGTGAAGATTACAAAAAATTTCTCTAATCACCTGGAGATGTTACTGAAATGCAAATTCTGACCAAATCTGTCTAGAGAATGTCTAAGATTCTGCATTTGTAACAAGGTACTTGTTGATGCTAATGCATCAACCTTCTGTGGAGCACACTCTGAACAGTACGGGTGAGGAGTAGGACCTTAATACTATGGGGAAAGAGGATGGAATGATGGAAGGTAAAAGGGATCTTTTGATTAGGAGATGGCTGAGAATGGCTGCAGTATGGCTCCACTTAAATTTATGAATACCTGCATAAATATTTTCCAAGCAGGAATTTTATGTATTTATTTAGCCAAATACAGTTCATTGAGAAGTACACAGGTGTGAGATTTTCCTAGTAACACCTAAAAATCCCAAATAGAACCAGAAATTAGAATAAAACTTTTGACTGCTAAAATAATTGTTTTAGAACTTAAATAGCTTTTTCACTAAAGCATTTGTCTTTTCCACATATGTAACTGTTTTAAACTAAAAAGATTTCTAAAACTTAGAAATGAAATATTGTTTTTTGCCTTAAAATTCATTACTATCTAAATACTACATTTTTTACATATTATGTGTCCATCTACCCCTATGAAAGTATGCATGTCCTCAAGGCAGAGAATTGTGTCCATTCACTCCTGAATCCTCAGCATCCACAACAATTCCTGATACTAAGTAGGCAAAAAGTTTTTAAACAACTGCAAAAATCACTTGCTAAGTAATTTCTTTAATGAAGGAAAATATCAATTACTACAGCTATCGTAAAAATAATTCTCCGTGAAAGTTTCCTGAGTAAGCAGCAAAAGAAAGATAAACAGTAAATGAATAATCACAGGTTCTTACATAACTTCCCTTCATTTGGTCTCTTGACTCACTATAAAGTTAAGATAAAAACTGAGTTTAAAACTACCCTAAAAGGATGGGCAGGGTGGTGCATTCCTGAAATCCCAGAACTATGGGAGGACCAGGCAGGAGGATCACAAGTCTGAGCTCAGCTTGGACACCTTAGTGACTTAACAAGGACTGCAGTTGACAGCTCAGTGCAAAGGCCCTGGGTTCAATCCTTATTACTGTGAAGACAAGCAAACAATCAAAACACAAAAAATTATCCTAAGAGATAGAAAGAATAGGGGTTGCCAGGAGAAGGGAGAAAAGGGCAGTGGAGAGTGACTGTTTAATGGGTATGGGATTTGTTAGGGCTACTGAATTTAAAAATGATTAAAATGGTAGATTTTGTTAGGCATATTTTACCACAGTAAAAAAGCTGTATCAAATTAATTCAGATATGCAGTTTGATGAAAATTTTGACCAAAGGTATTCTGATCTAGATGGAATGTTTGTATTCTTATTTTCTAGTTAGGATTTCCTTCTCATCATTATCACTTTTTTTTTCAGTGCAGGTTCTACTTAGGATAAATTTCATTTTATTGTGAGTTACTTATTGTCTTCTCAAAGGATAGTTCTCAAACCAGTGAAATCAGCTTCACTGTAAGCTTGTTAGAAATTCAAATTCTTAAGCCTATCCACAGTCTTAGTTAGAAACTCTGCAGTAGATGTCTTAGAACTAGTAATCTATTACAGCATAGTAACCTTAATCAGGGCTTTATGTAAGAGACTGTATGTGCAATCCCTATCCATGGAACAATCAGAGTCAGTCATGTTCTTTTACCATTATCTTCCGCAGAAAACCAATACCACTTTTCTCCAAGATACAACATAAACATTGGAGAATGGAGAATTTAGAATAGACTATCAGACATAAGCACATTTCTTGATAGATTTGCCAACACAGTATGTGCGAATACATCTGTGAGATGCATTGCAAAAATCTCTCATGTTCTGAACATCTGTGAGATAGCGAAATTTTTACTTTTGTGAAAACAGTTTATATGCCAAAAGGTAATTGGGAGTTGGCCTACAACTTAGGGATTATGAACTGAAAACATCTTACCTTTTGAAGCAGACATCTGAATGTAGTGCGTAAATTATAGTTATTAGATACAGAAAGCAATGAGATGAAAGTACACAAGTAACAAATGAACAATAGCTACATAATCTGTTTTAACCCCCCCCATTACATTATAAGTTATTCATCTGCTTTGTGGTACTTACCACATGTGGCTGTGCACATTCCAAATTCTACTTCTTTGACTATTGTCTTGTTTAAAACTAAACATAAAGTATAAAATGCATTATTTTATGATATAAAACCTGTTATCATCATGCATTTTATTAGTGTACAGACTAAGGGCTTTATTTTGGCAGACTCATATATGCACATAACATACTTTGATCATTCCTGCCCCCATTCCAGTGTGTTTCCTTCCCCCTTCCTCCTGTTTGAAGTTCTTTTCTCTAATAGTCCCCCTTCTACTCACGCACGAACTTTTCCCAGTGAAAAACTTCATACTTGGGGGTGAGGAATACAAAGCCATTTCTTGTACATTTACTGTTATTATCTAACTTAAAAGAAACCTAACCCTTTAAACAAGTTCACTGAGATGTTTATAGGTGTGAGATTTTCCAAGTAACACCCAAAAAGTAGGAAATAAAAGAAGGTATTTCAACTTTGTATACAGTTTGTTTTTTCCATCAGTTAATACATGATGAGTTAAAATTCTATTTGAAAGAAAAACACAAAATAGTTTTTGAATTTTATGAACTTTTCTCGTACTTATTTTCCAAAGGAAAAAAAGTGAAGTGCATAATTTTCTTTCTTTTTCTTTTCTTTCTTTTTTTTTTTTTTTTTTTTTTTTTTTTTTGAGACATGGTCTCCCTATGCAGTTCAGGCTGGCCTTGAGCTCACTTTGTAGCTTAGGTGGGTCTCGAACTCACAACAATCCTCCCACCTCAGCCTCCTGAGTGCTGGGATAACAGGCATGCACCACCATGCTCGGCTGACGTGCATAATTTTCATCCAAAATGAAAATGTTAATATCAACTGTTCATTAAAATTATAAAAGTTATAGATTGGTTTTATTCATTTCTAGGTTAAGATGGTGAATTTAAACATTTCCAAGAGTTTATTTTAATGCTTTATTTAGCAGGACAACTTAGGAATATAATTATTTGAGAAGTTATTCTTAGTTCTAAATCACATTTCCCTTTTTCCAATCATGATAAAGGTTGGCATGAATTCCAGTAGCTACAGTGTATAACCAGCTCTTCGTAGTATAGATTAGGGCTAAAGTCTCAGTAGAAAAAACAAGGTGTTAAAAGATAATTTGTAAAACGCATCGTATCTTGGGGCAAGAAATCACATGGGAAAGCACATTGAACTTGAAGTCCAAACAACTGCCTCTACTACTAATTAGCTGTGAGTTTGAGCAACTTAATTAAATTCTGTCAGGCCCAGTTAACTCTTCATAAAATTTGGAAGACTTTACATCATCTGATTCATACTAAATAAGAGAATGTGTGAAAGAACTCTATAAATTGTTTAGCACTATAAATACATTTAAGAATAATCTTACCCAATTCAAACTCATTTTGAAGTTATTAGTTTCATATATGATTAAGAATTCTTTTAAATTTTGATTATTGTAATATCTCAATAGCTTCATAAACACTTTATCCTATACTTGCAAGCACCAAATTCAGTACCTTGAAGTAGGCATTTGATACATATAAGTAAAGCAATACTGACTCTGTTAAATAAATGGTTTAGGCTATCATGGTGATCAAATTTGATTTGACATTTTTCTGCTTTGAATGCTTGAATACTTTCAGCTGGTACTTTATGAGATATAATGAACACAGAAAACATAGGTAAGAGTTGGGGATATATCTGAGTGTTAGAGCTCTTGCCTAGCATGTGGAAGGCTCTAAGTTCAAGCCCAGAGCCAATAGTCTATCAAACCCTTATCTGTACAAATGGTATAAAATAATGGCATAAAATATATTTTAAAGGTATGTAAAAGGGTACATAAGGTATATAAAAGGCATAAAGGTATACGTCTAAAATATTTTTGTGATTTTTATCTTGAAACATGTTATTACATTTTCCACAATGATATTTCATCACTGTTTTTAAAATAAAAAAATAAAATTGAAGAATTACTGGAGTTTCCCAGAAATATGATGTAATTGTTAAATAAATCACAGCGATTACCATCGATGTCTGATTTCTTATTTCTTTACCCAAAGTGTTGTATTATCTTTCAGAAGTATATGGGAAAAGTCTAGAAGCATCCTGTCTTGTTGTCTGTTTCTAGTTTTCAATGAATAAAGTTGAGATTACAGAATTTTTCATTTTTTGCCCATAGTGACAAAGAGAATAAAACTGACAGTGAAAACATTTCACAATTATTGAATGAATAAGAGGATGAACACAGAACGATAGCACTTTATATCATGATGGTGAGGCTGACTGTACAAACAAAAATCTTAGTGACAGACGATATCTTCGATGAATAGCCTCGATAAATTTTCTCTAACTTAAGAATCAATGAGTGCACATTTCTAAGGATGAAAATAATATATGGTATTCTCATCCAGTTACATCTTTCAAGAGAAAGGGTTTGATCCTTCTGTATGTGACAATAACCTAAATCATATTGTTTTTCCAAAAGGCTGTGGACAGTATTTTTTTTTCATGTTTACACACCAACATTTACTTGATAGGATTTATAAATGGCTAAATCATGATGGCAGGTGTGTATATAAAGGTGACTAAAATAAGATAGCTGGTGTAGAAATGAATAAAACATATTGAACTAATCATTCCAATTGGTGTTTATAAATCTAAAAATGAAAATGTTTTGCAATTATGCAGCAAAAGATGTCATTCTTCTCTTCAACAAAATATGTGCCTTTAGAGTCTTAAAAAGTATTGTTTTGACAATACAAATAGAAAAAGAACTAGAGTGAAGATAAACTAGACTCTATTAAAGAAGTACTTGAAATGTGGCATCAATAGTCACATGATGAATATGTTCCAGGTTCATGCTTAACAGTTAAACATTTAGTTGCATTCAAATTACTTGATCCAATTCGAGCATGTACATCTTCAAAACTATGATATAATGAATAAAAATTTGGGGTTTGCTTATGTTTAAATTCTACTAAAATTTCTAAAAAGATATTTTCACTGACCATTCTAAGTTTCATAAATTATTTGGAGAATGACTTAAAACTGAAAAAATGTAGTCTCCTAGCCAGTAAGTGGTGATGATTGTTTTTACTGGTCCATTAGGGTTAGAAGAGCTATACAAATTTTACCAGTGGTCCTGGAAAATTTCAAATCTCTGACGGTTTCCAGTTTTGTATTCTCAATTTCCCCAGAAAATGTACTTGTGCATAAAACTGTATCTATGATATTCCAGAGGGTACCTGGACTCCCTGAAGTCCACAAATGAGGAAACTGAAACACTGAGAGAATAGTAACTTATCTACATTTGAATCTAGATGTAGGGCATTATAAGTCCATCACTTGGGTTTAGCCTAAATAAAATCTAGCATTTCACAGCTAGAAGTATCCTGTGACCAGTTCAATACTAAAATTGTTCACTTGATTAAAGGATAGAATGAAGCAATAGCTACTGTGCTTTATAATGTTCTCTTCTTTCCTAGTCATTTTTCTTTTTCACATTTCCAAAGAGAAACCTATTCAAGCTCTCTGTCATATAACGTTATCAAGACAGTACAAACCTGGATCCCACTATTAACCTCAAATAGTCAATTTCTTTCTGATGCTGGTTACTATCTGTCCTCAGGGGGCGGAAAAAAGGCTGATAGATGAAGCACCAACTCTATCTGTATAGATAGAGGAGACAGGAAAATGTCAAGGATATTAAAATGTTCAGCTGGATCATTTATGGGGGAAGGAAATCAACTTCCTCTAGAGGGCTGCAAACTTGCAACTGACCTTTTGCCTACCAGTATGTGTCACTAATCCATATAACACGTACCACAGCTTGTCAAGTTTTATTGCTTAATGAGCCAGCAGTATAAAGCAAATTTATGTACCAAGCACAGGCTTGGTTAACACCTTATCACTTAACGATGATGCCATTAGTTGGATCCCTGATAGGTGTTTCCCACTGCCACTATTCCTTTGAAGTTAAACATACAAATTAAACACTCCTGCTACAAAGGTCCTGAGTGGTAGGAGCGCATGAAGCTGACATGCGGCTTTGCGACAGTGCTGTCAGCATATTAATCTAAATGTGTCACAGTAAAGGGAATTATGAATTCCACTGTGTTCCCATCAAAAGGGAGGAGGACGATTTTAAGAACTCTGTAACTTAAAAAAAAAAAAAAAACAATGGAAAGGGGAAATGACTGCAGCAAGAGTCAAGATGATTCCCTTGCGCCTTCCTCTTAATTGCACCTCTTAAGAATGTTCCTCCTTCTCCAAGTAGTACTTAAAAGTGTACATGCTTCTTCAAGGCCCGCAACTGCACAGACTCAATAAACTCGGGGCTTATATACCAGAGAGCGCTCTACGGAGAGTAACATGGCCAATTCTAGTCCGGGACAAAGAAAGAGCAGGCTTTTGCCCTCCGCAGGGGCCTCAGCGAGCCCGGCAAGGCGCCTCCTCCCTCACCATCATCCCTGGCCACAGTAGGGCCAGTCGGCCCTTCTGCCTCCTCCACGTCACTGTAGCTGTCCTCGTCGCTGTCGTCCTGGCCCTGGCCCTGGCCCTGGTCCCCGCCAACGCCCTCGACCTCGCGGTTGTCACCAGGGTCCTGAAGGGCGGTGACGTTCGTGGCACTCGAGGACCGAAGGCCGCCCACGAGCAGCCAGCCCACGGTCAGCAGCAGCCCAGCGGGGCAACCCGCACCCCCGGGGCTCATGGTTCCGGGCCCCACGGCCGCCCAGCACACAGCAGCAATCCCCTGCCCAGGGAGCAGGCGCGACGCGTCAAAAAGCAAAGCCACGCCACAACCACTCCGAACTTCGGCGCCCGGCCCAGGCAACCATTGACGCGTCAGGGCTCGTCACGGCCTTCCGCGCTTCCGCCGCGGCTCCACGCCGGCACGCGGGGGCGGGGCTGCGTCACGTCACGCCGGGGGCGGGGCCGAGGCGCCCTTTCCCTCCAACTGCGAGTTCCCGCCCTGCGTCCTCGGCGCGGTGGCTGCTGGGTGCAGTTCCCTCGGGTTAACCACATGGCATTCCTTTTTCGTGCTGTCTCCTTTTCCCTGTTTCCAGAATAGACTTCCTAGACCCTCAAACGCTGCACGTGTGACTTGGTTTCAGAATTCGCTCTCCAAAATATCCAACCTGGTATGTATCAAGAAAAACTTGTCATAGCCTTATTAAGTATGGTATCCCAAACTAGGTCTTAGAAGTGCAGGTGAGGTTTATCTATAGAGGACTTTGGTTCAGTGATCTGAGCACCACTGTAAATGCAGCTCAAGTGTGTATTCATATTTTAAGATTTTGTGTAGCCTTATCAACTCTGGAAGACTTCTTGAGCTGATTGGGGTGGGTAAAGAAAAAGAGAAGAGCTGTCAAACTAATTTGTCCTCATTCTGTTTTTGGGTAGCTGATGGTTTGGGTACCAATTATGGGACATAGGACTTAACTTTCATTCTTGGATTATCTTCTCTTGCTTTTCACTTTATGTGGTTTCTTCCATCTAGAGATACATTTGGATCCTGATTCTGTGGTATTAACATACCAAACACAAACAAACAAAAGCATCCTACAACAAACAAACCAACCAACCAAACAAACAAACCAAACATCTTGTCCAACATTGGTTTGAAAAATACTTCTCCTTCCGGTTAGTGCCAAAAATGAGCAAAAGTACAATAGGTCACGAATAAAACCTTGTAAGGTCACTTTGACAAATGCTCTGTTGATTTAAACTGAGAATCTATCTTTTCACCAAAAAAGAGTTAACACCGTTTACCAAGATTGAATTGGACTAGAAGCAAGAATACCTTCGTACACTACCTTGACATTTTCATCTGAATCAGTAGAAAATATTAGGGCTTGAGTGTTAACTCCCCACTGCTTATTCAGTATCAGTACGTCCAATTATGTCATAGCAAGAAATGAAACTGAATTTAACTCGTTTTGTGCATGATGCAAATTTTAATGGTCTAATTAATTCACATTTCTTCAGGAATAGACTTAGAAGCTTAGAAATCATTTATATACTCCAAACCCCTCATTATTGAGAACATTAGGAACTGGAGAGATTAAATGACAAGCCCAAGATCATCCAGAAAACCGTTTGCAGAGTTAGAGCTCACAACCAGATATTCCGAATGCTGATGCAATGCTTTGTGATTCTTATAATTGAAAGTTATTAATGAAGATGTACTTAGTGGAATGATTCAAAGTCTGAGCTCAAGTACTGAAGACAAATTAGGGTCGACATTTTTTGCTTTTGTTATTCCAACTTTGATTTCATCTAGTAGTTACAATATGATAGCTTTTTGTTACTGCTGTTTTTGAAAAGATGCATATGGTGTCATATGTACTTTGACATTCCATGTTTAAATTCCCATGACAGCCAGGTATGATGGTGCACACCTGTAATCCCAGTGCTTGGGAGGCTGAGGTAGGAGGAATGCTGTGAGTTTGAAGTCAGCATGGGCTACGAAGTGAGTTGAAGACCAGCCTGAACTGCATAGCAAGACCCTGTCTCAAAAAGACCAAAAAAAAAAAAAAATTTTTTTCTATGACACAGAGGATGAAGAATCCCATAGTACAAGATGAATTTGAGGCTTAAACTTTGGCTTTGGAACACTTGTCTATCCAGTCTCAGCAGACTAACAGGTAAGAAGGGAACTCTCAGGTTCTTCAGAGACACTTATTTATAACCAAAATGGATAACCTGAAGCAAAAGTCACCATTTTTATTTGAATTGTTTTTTTCCTCTCAAAGAGGTTTCTAGTATTGAAAAGGCAAGAACTTCTAAAAATGGTCAGTATTAAAATTTGAGTTGGTATTGGTAAAGGGTCTTGATAATATTGCATATGAACTAAAATTCCATAAAATACAATAGCATCTGGCAAGATTATGGGAGTTATTAAAATGGGAAATTTAAAGATAGGTTTGAGAAGTAAAGTTCTTTTTGATTCATGAGCAAATAAATCATTTTATGAATGCTGAGAAAAATAAGAAAAGAATCATGGTTTCAAACATAAACTTTATAAAGATCTATAGTACTGTCATGTGTAAATTGTTGAGTGTTTCAAAGTCCACCTGAGGATTTATCTTCCTGAAAGTACCCATTTCGAGCAGAGGAAGGGCCACAAACCCTACATCAATGGCCTAATAAACAGCTCCAAAGGCAATCCAAATGAGTCTCAAAGAGGAACTGGAAGGTATAACTCTGAAATAAAGACTTAAAATTATACCTCGAACAGCAACAATATAAGTCATTTGTAAAATACCATATGATTTGCATAACAAATTGTGTTCTTTTATAAGCATGTAGATTATAAAAGCATATCTGTCCTTAAGAAACGTATATACTCTCTAGGCAATGCAAAAAAAAATAAGTGAAAGGCAAAATTTGAACCAGGGTGTACGGAGGGTTTGACCCTATTCTGGTCCATGGATACCAAGGAACAGGAATCCAATTTCAGTCCTTAATTTGCAACTCTGACTCTGCTTCCCTCAGTTTAGTTTGTTAATATGGTAAATTATATTGAGTGATATTCTAATACTGACCCAACCCTGTATTCTTGGGAGAAATCTACTTAGTTAACGATGCATTACCCTTTTATGTATTGATGCTTTCACTGGCTATTTTGCTTAGAATTTTTACATCAATATTCACGAAGAATAGCGGTTTATAGTTTTCCTTTTTGCAATATCTTTGCCTAGTTTTGGTATTATTGACCGCTAGTCTTGTAGACTGAGTTGGTAACTCTTCCATGTGCTTTTTCATAGTCACTTTCCAGTCACTGGAACAAAATATTCAACAGCCACAATTTAAAGGAAGAGAGATTTATTTGCCTTACAGTTTCCAATGGGTTCCATCCAAAGTTTAGCTGGCTCCAAGGCAGAAATAGCATAGTGGAAGGGTCTGGCAGAGGACAGCTACACATCCCCATGCAAATCAGAAAGCAGAGAGAGAAAGAAAAGAAGAGCCAGAGACAAGAAATACAATCTTCCAGTTCATCCCCCAATGGCCCACCTATTCTAACCAGGCTGTGCCTCCTAACAGTGAATTCAGCTATAAATTCATCACTGTACTACCCCCACAATCCAGCTACCTTCCAACCCATGAGAAATTTAGGGGGACATTTTAAATCTAAACCATGATGGCCTTGAAACAGATGTATCCTTTTTCATTTTTGGGTGGAGCCTTCTTTAAATGCCAGCTAGGTCAAGTTGGTTGATAATTTTTGTCAAAACAACTAATTCCTTGCTGATTTTATGTCTGTTTCTTCTATCAATTATTGAAAAAAAGGATATTGAAATATAGCTATAATTGTGGATTTATTCTTGCTCCTTCCAGTTCTATCAATTTCATTTATTTTGAAGCTCTATTATTAGAGACATACATATTTAGGATTTTTATGTTCTCATGATAAACGACCCCTTTACCTTTTGAAATAACCTTTATCCCTTATAATAGTCTTTTTCTCTGAAATGTGTTTTTATATTAAAATAGGAAATCCGCCCTTCTTTTGACTAATATTAGCATCGGATAACATTTTCTGTCTGCTTTTCTTTTAGCTTGTTGTAATCTTATGTTTCAGTTGTGCTCTTGGTAGTCACTGTATTGCTATTTATTAAGTTAAACTTTTTTATTTTGAAAAAAATGTATATTCACACGCAATCTAAGAGAGAATACAGACAAATTCTTTGCACCATTTACCTGGTTTCCCCAGTGGTAACAGCTTACAAACTATAGTCCTTATGGTTTGTATCTGGATGTTCACCCAAAGCTTCATGCACTCATAGGTGGAGCTTTTAGGAATGGTTGGATCATGGGTGTGTGATCCTGCATTATGGTTATGATAACTAAATTAGCCCACTGATTGGTTTAGTATAGTTCTGGGTGTGAATAATGGGAAGGCCTACCAATAATGGGTGTGGGTGACACCAGTCAATAGATTTGCAGCCTGAATGGAATAAAATGGGAAAGGCTATTGGCTGCTTTCTGCCTGCTGTTCCATGGACTGCTTCTCCTCTGCCATGCCCCTCTGCCATGCTTCCCTGCCTTGGAACCAGCCAACTATGGACTGAAACCTCTATAAATTGTGAGCCAAAATAAACTTTTAACTTGTGGGTTTTGGGTATTTTGTCCCAGCAATGATAAAGTGACTAAGAATAATAAAATGCCATCTAGGATATTGTCATTGATACAATCAAGACATAGAATATTTTCTTCACATCAAGAGCCTATCTTGTTGTCCTCCTATAGCTACACCCACTACTTTGCTGCTCTGTCTCCCTCCATGGGAACTACCATATATCATCTATTTCAATAATTCTGTCAAGGGGGCTGGGGACTTAGCTCAGCAGCAAAAGCACCTGCCTGCCAAGTGCAAGGTCGTGAGTTCGGTTCCTGGTACCGGAGAAAAAACAAAAACAAAAACAAAACAAAAAGATAATAATAATTCTGTCAATTCAAGAGTGCTATATAAATGAAATCATACAGTATGTAAACCTTTTAAAACTATCTTTTTAAACTTACCATACATTTTTCAGTATAGTATATTGGGGATGGGGATTTAACTCAGTGGCACAGTGCCTGCCTGGCAAGCGTGAGGTCGTTAATTCAATTCCTGGTACTGGAAAAAACCAAAAACCAAAAAAAAAAAAAAAAAAGTATACTGTATGTATAATGTATGTATTGGTCCTTTCGATTGCTGAGTAGTATTTCATGGTAGGAATTTAGCACAGTTTTTTTAATCACTCACTACTGAAGGATATATGGATTATTTCTATTTTGGGATTGTCACAAATTAAGTTGCTATAAATATTTATTATAGATTTTTAAGTGATCCTAAGTTTTCTTTTCTCTGTAATAAATGCTAGAAACAGAATTACTG